ACGCGTTATATCACCACGCGTGGGATTTCCACGCGTTATATTGCCACGCATTATATCACCACGCGTGAGATTTCCACGTATTATATTGCCACGCGTTATATCACAACGCGTCAGATTTCCACTTGTTATATTGCCACGCGTTGATTTATCTCGCGTTATATCGCCACGCGTTGAGTTATCTCGCGTTATATTGCCACACGTCAGATTATAACGTGTTATTGAGTTATCTCGCGTTATATTGCCACGCGTTGATTTACCTCGCGTTATATTGCCACGTACCATGTAATCATCTGTTATATTGCCATGCGATGGGTTATCATGCGTTGGACTATCTCGCAATATATTGCCACGTGTTGTACTTGAATAATATCAGAGAGATTGAACGCATGTCTGCGAAGAATTTTGTTCGATGAGTAATCGGTGCGTGCAGGTTGATTCAGTAATCGCAGGTAAGTTTAATGATAGGCAACTATAGGTGAGAGAGATCATTATCCGAGAAATGATGGAAACACGAGAGTACCGGTGTCGGGTTCGTTTACTCGATTCTACGTGGTAAGCTGATTTCGCACCGGGTGCAAGTTAATGGAAGGAGTCAATCAATCCTAGCCCTAACGAAACTAGTTAACTAGTAGTGCCAATTATCTAATTTCTCCAGGGTAAGTTTGTTGAGCTTGGAGATCTCTTGGAACGATCGAAGATTCGACTGATTAATTGCGGTTGCGAAATCAATTTCGTTCTGTAAAACGCGAAGCAATACGTTTTGAAATCTGTGTAATAATTGTTGTAAAACTAGTAATTTAGAATTACTATTACAATAAGTGCTATCGAATACTAATAGCAATAAAAGCAGTGTTTCCATTTAATACTAATATCACTTCATTAATAATAGTTGAAAAATTTGCACAATAATGAATTAACTGCCCCAGCATTATTTGAAAAATTCTAACCCCACCCGACAAAACGCGCGAAAACAAAATAAAATATCTACAACCACTACACAGTGTGTGAATAACAAGCAGATATTTTCGGTATCATTTAATCATCGAATAAACGATAGCCGTTGAAAGTTGAATGAATGAGCGTGTCATCGGCAACAACCTACCAAAAAAAAAGACGAAGAAACAATTGTAAATAGCCATTATAATCTGCATGATACTTTAGAGCGAGCAGAGTCCCATTGTAATCGTGATTATTTTTCGCGCGAGAACTCACCCGTGACATCTCGAACGATTAATCGTAGCAAAAAGACAATGATTATTGACGATGATCGGAGAATGGAGTTCGATGACGGATGATGGGTCGGCGGCGATGCAGTTTCTCCAGGGCCTGGGGACAGACAACGAGGTTCAACCACGTTCGAACCGGACTAACCCGGTGTCTGGCCTCCACTGAAGGCGCCGGCGTCGTTGTACCCCTTCGGCGTCGGCGTAGGCGTCGGCGTCTCGACGGCTCCTCGTGATCGCGTGTCCACACCGACTCCCTGACTCTGGATACGATCCATGGATCCCTAAAGGGGCTGCTTCGGATCGGATATCACCGCTATTTTCACTGAAATCTCGTAAATTTCGTTTTGTCGGCTATAACGACGCCCTCGTGATATTACGTTCTTTAGACATAGGCCTCTTTTGATTGGGGACGCATGTAGAATTTGAAAATTTTTTAATTGACAAGCTGGAGTTGAAGAATTAAGGAATTGAGTAATTCAATAATTCAATAACTGAATAATTGAATAATTGATGAATTGATGAATTGAAGAACTGAAGAATTGAGGAATCGAAGAATTGAAGAATTGAAGCATCGAAGAATTGTATAATCAAGAAATTGAATATTTGAGAAATTGGATAATTGAAGAATTGAAAATTCGAGAAATTGGATAATTGAAGAATTGAATATTCGAGAAATTGGATAATCGAAGAATTGAAAATTGGAGAAATTGGATAATTGAAGAATTGAAAATTCGAGAAATTGAATAATTGAAGAATTGAAAATTCGAGAAATTGAATAATCGAAGAATTGAAAATTCGAGAAATTGGATAATTGAAGAATTGAAAATTCGAGAAATTGGATAATCGAAGAATTGGAAATTCGAGAAATTGGATAATCGAAGAATTGAAAATTCGAGAAATTGGATAATTGAAGAATTGAAAATTCGAGAAATTGAATAAT